GAGGGCAGATCTGCACGTCCCCCCCCCCAATAGCTAGCAATCCAAAACAGTCCAGTGGTACCTTTAAGACCAAGTCTTATTCAGGTACAAGCTCTCCCTCCTCTGTGAGGGCAGATCTGCACGTTCTCCCCCCCGCCCAATAGCTAGCAATCCAAAACAGTCCAGTGGAGCCTGAGTGGTGGGTGTTGCCTTCTGACACACTTCCGGTGACGTCAGGGGGTGTGGCATATGCAAATGAGTTGTGCTAATGAGCTCCTGCACCTCTTTTTCTACGAAATGACCCCCGAATTTCCACTGCAGAGCGCCTAGTGATCGTAGCTCCTTTCCAGACAAGAGGACAACGACAGGCTGTCCCCGTACTTTGGGTCCTCCCCGGGATCTCCAGCTCGGCCGCAGCGGGAGAGAAAGGCGTTGCGACTGCCGGCAGAGTGAGAGAGGAGTCCGGCAAAGGGGGCGGGTGGGAAAAGGAAGGGCCTCGACGGGTTGAGGAGAGGCAGGCAGATGACGGGGGAAGCTACCTACTGGCCGGCGAGACGCTCTCCGAGGCCAAAGAAAAGCGACTTACGTCATCCTCCGTGTCGCCGCCTCGCATGGTTCCCACGATCCGCTTGCTGGGTCTCCCTGAAGGAAAGAACGAGACAGAGCATCCGTGAGAACGCGACGGCGACTTTGGCCGAGAGCTGAGGGCGGGACGGCAGGGGGGGCGCGGTGCCCACACTTATCCTGCTACCGAGGCGGTTCGGAGGCATGGCTCAGACACGGCTGGGAAGTGTGCCGGGGGCACTGAGAAGAGGGTGCGGAGGTCACACGAGGAACAGGGATACACACCATAACCAAGGCTCCCTCTAAGCTGTGGAGTCTCGTGAGCCAAAACTCTACTTTGTGAGTTCCTGGCATTCAGGTTGTGAGCAGGCGATTTGGCTCCTGCAGAAATCAGTCTGCTCTGGAGCCCCATCCTTCCTGAGCGGAGACAAAAATGTGTGAGCCGGAGGCTAAAAAAACTGTGAGCTGGCTCACACTAACTCAGCTTAGAGGGAACAGTGACCTATAACTGAGGGTTCTTTGCCAAAGGGAGAGGTCAGGCGAGGAAGGAGAGAGGCCGCCAGGGGTTCTGTCTGTGGCCGGACTCTGCTGCCCTGAGACATGTGGATGTCCCCCTTTTCTCTGGCATGGTGGGAGAGTGTAGCTTGTTTTTCAAAGCCCCTTTCCCAAACCTGGGAGGAGACGCTTTAAACGCCGTGTCCATCATCCGGGGCGATGACAATTTTGGGCCCTCGAGAGTGGAGAACCAATTCGGGTTCTCTCTAAGCTGAGTCAGCGTGAGCCGGCTCACAGTTTTTTAGCCTCCGGCTCACACATTTCTGTCTCCACTCAGGAAGGATGGCTCCAGAGCAAACTGATTTAGGCAGGAGCCAAATCACCTGCTCACAACTTTAATGCCGGTAGCTCACAAAGTAGGATTTTTGCTCACAAGACTCCACAGCTTAGAGGGAGCCTTGCTCCAGAGCAAACTGATTTATCCCGTAGCCCAATCGCTCGCTCACAGCTTTAATGCCAGTAGCCCACAAAGTAGAATCTTGGCTCACAGGACTCCACAGCTTAGAGGGAACTCTATCCCGCCAACAACCCAGTGAGGTATGTTAGGCAGAGGAGGAAGGACTAGCCCAGGGCCATCCAGGCAGCTTCCGGGACAGAGTGGGGGTTCCAACAGATCCCGGGCCCGCACTCTAACCACGACATTAGCTCTAATATGTCGTCGAAGGCTTTCACGGCCGGAGTTCATTAGTTGCTGTAGATTTCCCGGGATGTGTGGCCGTGGTCTTGGCATTGTAGGACCTGACGTTTCGCCAGGAACTGTGGCTGGCATCCTTTTGTTTCCTGAGGAGGAAACAGGACACAGTATTTTGTTCCAAGACACTGAAAGGTTGGACAACACTTTCAATTTCCATGTCAGATTACACAGGGAGAGAGGAGAGACTGGATTTGATTTGGCTCCTGCAGAAATCAGTCTGCTCTGGAGCCGTCCATCCTGAGCGGAGACAAAAATGTGTGAGCCGGAGGCTAAAAAAACTGTGAGCTGGCTCACACTAACTCAGCTTAGAGGGAACAGTGACCTATAACTGAGGGTTCTTTGCCAAAGGGAGAGGTCAGGCGAGGAAGGAGAGAGGCCGCCAGGGGTTCTGTCTGTGGCCGGACTCTGCTGCCCTGAGACATGTGGATGTCCCCCTTTTCTCTGGCATGGTGGGAGAGTGTAGCTTGTTTTTCAAAGCCCCTTTCCCAAACCTGGGAGGAGACGCTTTAAACGCCGTGTCCATCATCCGGGGCGATGACAATTTTGGGCCCTCGAGAGTGGAGAACCAATTCGGGTTCTCTATAAGCTGAGTCAGCGTGAGCCGGCTCACAGTTTTTTAGCCTCCGGCTCACACATTTCTGTCTCCACTCAGGAAGGATGGCTCCAGAGCAAACTGATTTAGGCAGGAGCCAAATCACCTGCTCACAACTTTAATGCCGGTAGCTCACAAAGTAGGATTTTTGCTCACAAGACTCCACAGCTTAGAGGGAGCATTGCTCCAGAGCAAACTGATTTATCCCGTAGCCCAATCGCTCGCTCACAGCTTTAATGCCAGTAGCCCACAAAGTAGAATTTTGGCTCACAGGACTCCACAGCTTAGAGGGAACATAAGCCTGCTCTGTTTCTATCCCGCCTTCTGGAGTAGATATAAATTACCTGCCTACCATTCTCTTCTCACCTTGACACAGAGAGTGCTCCATCTTTCTGTGTTATACCTCTGAGGATGCCAGCCACAGTTCCTGGTGAAACGTCAGGTCCTACAGTGCCAAGACCATGGCCACACAGCCCCGGAAATCTACAGCAACTAATGACATTAGCTCTCTTTTTTAAAAATCCATTTGTAATCTAGCACAGCTTGCTCCTGGATGCAGACTCTCCACATAGCCTTGTGCTGGTCTAAAGACCACAATAAACAAGCAGTGATACTCCATAGAGCCTGCTGTTGGCCGCTCTAGGGGCACACCTGTCCCTTTCGGCGCAACAGCCATCTGCCGTGCAGCTCTGTTTGCTCCGGCAAGAGCACAAATGATGGAAATCCAATCTGGTCCCACATCCTCCCACGCTTGCGCTAAAGCCTGCAGCTCTGACCGTGAATATCTGGCCCACCTGCCTTCCCCCCGGGGGTATGTGGAGAAACTGCAAATGTGCCATCCATTTGGCAAGCCGGGCAGGAGGGTGGCTTGGCACTGCCTGGTCCCCTCGGGGTTTTCCAACCCAAAGCACGCGCCCGGTATCTAGAAGCCCCGCCGAGTCAGGAATGGGTGTTCAAAACTGCCGCTCTGCAAGATCCAGTTTAGGGAAAGCTCGGCGATCACGGAAGATGCCACGGCTCCGTGTTTAGCCCATCGGCTCCCCGCGGTTTAGAAACACACAAGCAGTTCCCAGCCTGCCTGGGTCGTCTCCCCTCCCGCCAGGCTGATGGGGCAGCGTGTCGGGGCAACGGCCCGTGAAAGGGCTGGCCCTTCAAGGTCTCCTGCATGCGCGGGAGAACACCTCCCCCCCACGGTGCTGAGTATACTTGGGAACAGATTAACAAAGGGGGGGGGAAGGCAAGGGTACCTTGCATCAGCATCTCCATGGCCGTGTGCTGCTTTATAAGCTGCCGGTCTTCTATTTCGCTGTCGGACCCGTCGTCCTCGTGGATCTCGATGTCCGAGTCCTCGTTACCTAGACACGGCAGAAATGGAGATGCACACGGGAGTCAAGGGCCGTGGCAGGGAGAGGCCCAGGAAGCACATCGACTGGGGACAGACCGTGTGTTCAGAGTACCAGAGTTTTGACACTGTGCCAGCAAAGACTGAGGGTGAACCGAGGCCTGAAATACTCCTGCAAGAAGCTGTCGGTGCAAGCCAGTGTCCCCTCTAAGCCGAGTTAGTGTCAGCCAACTCACAGTTTCTTAGCCTCCGGCTCACACATTTTTGTCTTCGCTCCGGAAGGAGGGGGCTCCGGAGCAAACTCATTTATGCAGGAGCCTGATCGCTCGCTCACAACGTTAATGCCAGTGGCTCACAAAGAGGGATTTTTGCTCACAAGACTCCACAGCTTAGAGGGAGCGTTGGAAGTGACCCCCCACCCACCAGGAAGCTTGCTGGGTAATCTGGAGCCAGTCGTCCTCTCTCTGCCTGTCCTACCTCGTAAGGCTGTCAGGCAGATAAAACGGTGGAGGAAGCCACTCGGTCGCCCTCCGCCCCTTGGATGAAGGGCAAAATAAAAATGCTCGGATAGGACGTATAGACGGGAAGTATGGAAATGAAAGCTGTTCCACTTGTAGGTGGCCAGGGACTGGGGCATCAAAGACCCCCCCCTCTCTGCACAAACCTCCCCCTCTGTTGGGACCGTCTTGTGAGGCATCTTCACACTGGAGAAGATTCCCAGAGACAGCGGCTTGTCAGTGGCAATTTCCCTCCCTGCCTCCCGTTCTCTTTTGTGCCTCGGGGCAAGGCAGTCCTCCCACGCGGCCGATGCTAAATAATACAGCCCCACTTATTATTTCAGCGGCTGCTCTGTGAGCCGAGGGTTCCAGGCGGTCCCAGTGCCAGCGTTTAAGCCATCAGCTAATCGTGTGGCATCGACAGTCCGGCCCCACCGAAGCGCTCGGGTATTCCCTGTGGGGGAGCCAGCTTCGAACCGGTTGCATACCTCCCCCAGCGGAGCATGGCTCCGCTTCCGAAACACACACACATCCTCGGTCGGACCACTGTCCCCTCTCCTCCTGACAGCCTGTGCCCGTCTCTGATCCACCACTCTTGTGAGTCGAAATGGATTTTGCCCCGGCTCAGTGGCTGCCATGGTCGACCCAGCTACGGTTTCCCTAACGGCCTCCCTCTCTCTAGCCCACAGGAATCCCATTTTCTGCCAGCGTGACCCTTTCCCCAAACTGATGAAGCGATCGTTTCCACAGGTCCTCTGAAATAATACGCCAAAAACGATTGCACAGAAGGTTTCCCCCTGCAATGCATCCTCCCAGCAAAATACAAAACCCGGGTGCAGAAAGTGGGAGGGCTTCTAGTGTCCTGGCCCCACTGCTGGACCTCCTGATGGCACCTGGTATTTCTGGCCACTGTGTGACACAGAGTGTTGGACTGGAGGGGCCTTCGGCCGGATCCAACATTGGCTTCTCTGTTATGTTCTTATGTGGTGGTCCCATGGCCTCTCCTCTCCTCCTCTCCCTCAGCCCAACTCTTTCCAGCAGCAGAAGGGAAGATCCGATGTGGCCTCTTCGGCCGGCCCCCAACTCACTTTTAACCTCAGTCCCACTACTTACACCAGCCTCGGCTCCGCCCCCGCCCACTTATGATAGGACCAAGGCTGGAGCCAGTCACCTTCCCCTCCCGTAGTCCCCTCTTCCCCTTCCCTCTTCCTAGGTTCCGGGTTGAGTCTTCCTGAGCCTCGCCACTGTCAATTCTCTCGCCATACGGGAGAGAGGCCGGAGCAGAAGACGGCGGATCCGGCCTCTTTTGCTCAGGGGACACCCGCCAGCAAGGCCAAACTGGCCGGGAACAGTCCGCAAGCAGAAATCCCCCGAACTGACCCACGAGGGTAAGTCTCCCGTTTCCCGACATACACTGAGCGCGTACGTGGCGCTATTGAAGTCGGCAGGATGCCGATGCCTTCTTTGAGAACACATCCAACAGGAGGCGTGGATATTTCTGGCTCGGGAAGAAGTTTTTCCGATCTGTCGCCGCGCTGCTTACCTCTCGGTATGAGAATGACGGGACTCTCAGTGCTAGAGGAAGGCCGGGATCTCCCAGCAGTGATGCTTGACCGGGAGAGGTGAGAGTAGAGGAAGTATGAACACAAGGACAGTTGTCTGATCAAAGAGTTCTGGGTTCCTCCTCTGCCTTTCAAGCCGGGCTTATGAAGAGACACCCCAGGCAATCAGGCACAGCCGCTTCGCTAACGTAACTGGCCAGCCTTTCTTTCCCCCCCCCTTCTAGGCTGCAAAATGTTATGCCCGGGCGAGCACAGAATCCTAGACTCACAGAGTCAGAAGGGTCCATAGAGGCCATCTAGTCCAACCCCCTGCTGCTCAGTGCGGGATCAGCCAAGAGCATCCCTGGGAAGTGTTTGTCCAGCCGCTGCTTGAAGACTGCCAGGGAGGGGGAGCTCACCACTTCCCGAGGCAGCCCATTCCACCGTTGCACAACTCTGACAGTAGAAAAAGTTCTTCCTAAGATCCAGCCAGTACTTTCCTGCCCTGAATTTAAACCCACTCTTGCGAGTCCTCTCCTCTGCTGCCAACAGGAACAGCTTCCTGCCCTCCTCCTCTGAGGGCCAGCCCTTCAAAGACTTCAAGAGAGCCATCCTGTCCTCCCTCCACCTCCTCTTCTCCAGACTGAACCTTCCCAAGTCCCTCCGCCTTTCCTCAGAGGGCTTCTTGGTCTCCAGGCCCCCGATCGTCCTCGTCGCTCTCCTCTGCACCCGCTCTGCTCTGTCCACATCCTTTTGGAAATGAGGCCTCCAGAACTGCACACGATACTCCAGGTGCGGCCTGACCAAGGCAGTGTACAGCGGGACTACGACATCTTGCGATTTGGATGTGATGCCTCTGTTGACACACTCCGAGATCGCATCACACTGGCTGCTCATATTTAACTTTCAGTCCACCCGTACCCCAAGATCTTGTTCACACAGACGGCTATTCAAGATGGTAACCTTTCTTGTGAGCTCATCTGTAGCCCATCTGTAGCCCTGTTGGCAGGCTGGTATGAAGCGAGCAAGACTCAAGTCCAGTAACACCTGAAAGGCCAACAGGGCATAATCGTCCAAGTGTCAAGTCTCCCTTCGTCAGGTAAGATTTCTAGCTCATACCCTGGAACTCTTGTCCGTCTCTACGGTGCTGCTGGATTCGAATCTTGCTCTTCTACTACTGAACACAGCAAGGCTTCCCACTTTCAACTATCCACTAAGCAACTCACTGAAATTGTATACTACTCCCTCCTCAAAAGATCTCATCTGGGATATGGAAGGAAGTGAAGAACACAGCTCCATGGCGGAGCCCATGTCTTTTGTGCAGAAGGTCTTGTGAGCAAAAATCCTGCTTTGTGAGCAACTGAGCGAGCAATTTGGCTCCTGCATAAATTAGTTTGCTCTGGAGCCATCCCTTCCTGAGCTGGCTCCTGCATAAATTAGTTTGCTCTGGAGCCCTTCCTTCCTGAGCCGAGACAAAAATGGGTGAGCCGGAGGCTAAAAAACTGTCAGCTAGCTCACACCAACTCAGCTTAGAGGGAACCACTGCCGGCAGGTGATGTGAAAGAGATCCAGTCAGCGTTGGCAACAACGACGCGGGTAGGACAAACTGTATTATCCTCAGCCAGTTCACACAGTAGAATCCAGTTGGAAAGTGCACTGAAAGTGGATTATTTCGTGTGTGTGACCACAGCCTTTAAGTGGCAAGATCGCTCTGCTTTGCACTGGTCACCAGTGTTCCCTCTAAGCTCTCTCTGCTTTGCACTTGTCACCTGTGTTCCCTCTAAACTGAGTGAGTGTGAGCTCGCTCACGGTTTTTTTAGCCTCCGGCGCGGCTCACAAATTTTTTTGCCTTAGCTCAGGGAGGATGGGGCTCCAGAGCAGACTAATTGATGCAGCAGCCCAATCGCTCGCTCACAGCTTTAATGCCAGTGGCTCACAAAGTGGAATTTTTGCTCTCAAGACTCCACAGCTTAGAGGGAGGCATTGCGTGGAAAGGGTAAAGCAGAGGCAGGAATGACGGTTTAAACGCAGTTGGGATCTGGGCTCCCTCCTTTGCTGATACGTGGCGTTTAAGGAACGGGGCTTACTTCCAGTCTTCAGCAGGCGTTTCTCCTCCTCCTTCAGCTTGTTCTGCATCAGGCGCAAGGTGTTCTCTGCTTCCTGCGGGGAAGAGGAAAGATCGAGATCAGAACGGCCGCTGCAGCAACGCCCGGCTCGGGAGCAGAATGGGTCGTGGCTCAACTCTGCTGCTAAGGTTGAGATCAGTGGCTCGGCACCCAGCACTGATCCACAGAACAGGAAAGTCTAAAAAGTAAAAAAGAAACCCCCGAAAGTGACGTTTCCCCCATCAGCTGAAATCGAGGCGTTCAAAAGCACGGCAAGCTTTTGAACCTGCGGAAGGGCCTCTTTTCTTATCTGGCCTGAAGTCAGATAAAGATCTGGAAGCTTGCAAGGGCTTTCAAGTAACCTGGTTGAGCCATGGAAAGCAAAAACAAGCCCCCCCCCGCTTCCGTGCATCAAAAAAAGGTGCACCGAATCTCAAGAGATGAAATGACTGCCATGAAGGGGGTCAGTGCCAGCGAGGGGGGCGGGGGGCGGGGGGCTTCACGCTCTATGGAAAAAGAAGAGGAAGAGGAGGAGGAAAAGGATTTGGTTTTATATCCCGCCCTTCACTACCCGAAGGGGTCTCAAAGCAGCTTACAATCACCTTCCCTTCCCCTGTGAGGTCAGTGGGGCTGAGAGAGCTCAGAGAGAACTTGTGACTGACCCGGGGTCACCCAGCTGGCTGCATGTGGAGGAGCAGTGGGGAATCAACCCCGGTTCTCCAGGTTAGAGTCTGCTGCTCTTAACCACGACACCAAGATAGCTCTAGGGTCATAGTGGGGGGGGGATTAACCCCCTTCCCCATCCCCATTTCCCTGTCCTCCCCAGTTGCTATTTCCCCCACAGAGGAAACATACAGGCAATGGGTGTTCTCTTCCTTGGGGCAACTAATAGCACTAGGGGGGAGGGGGGCTGTCTGAGACTGACGAAACCAGCATGGAAGGGATTGTTCCTTCCCTCCCACCGTCCCAATTCAAGTCTGGGGAGGGTTTCGCTGCTAGTTGGCCACACCGGACGGCCATTCCCGAATCTCCCAGTCCGCTGTCTAGTTCAGGGCCCCCCAAGGTGGGGCCAGCCCCTTCCCTGGCGTCTGCCAAGTGTCTGTAGGACGTGAGCGGGGCCAGGTGGGGTTCATGCCCAGCACGGCTTCTGTGCGGAGTAAGAGGAGGCATCCTGTTGAGCACCGCTTCCGGCCTTAAACATTGAAGAGCCACCAGGAGAGCTCCGCATAACCTGGCTCCCTGGCATTCTGTCGTTGGCTGCCGGCTCCTCCGGAAGCCGTCGTGTGGTTGTGCCCACCAGCCGGTGTCAGAGTCTGAGAGGTGCCCACGGGCTCAAGAAGGCTGGTCTAGTTAATACCCAAGAATCTCATCTTCCATTATTATTATTTTTTTTAAACAGAGTGAGGTCCTGTAACCCTGCAGTTACAAAGATGTGCTTGGGATGTGGGTAGTACCTCCTGAAATCTCAGACACCAGAACATTGTCTGATGAGCTTTTCCGATGCCCACGGGAGGTGAGACGGCGGTGTCCTGCACAGCCCTTTCCCTCCATCGTATGAGTTCCAAAGACAGAATTTTGCAAAATAAGAACATAAGAACAACGTAAGAACATAGGGGAAGCCATGTTGGATCAGGCCAGTGGCTAGATGTGTGCCTAGATGTGTCACACAGTGGCCAAAACCCAGGTGCCATCAAGAGGTCCGCCAGCGGGGCCAGAACTCCAGAAGCCCTCCCACTGTGGCCCACTAAGCACCAAGAATACAGAGCATCACTGCCCCAGGCATAAGAACATAAGAGAAGCCATGTTGGATCAGGCCAGTGGCCCACCCAGTCCAACACTCTGTGTCACACAGTGGCCAAAACCCAGGTGCCCTCAGGAGGTCCACCGGAGGGGCCAGAACTCCAGAAGCCCTGCCACTCTTGCCCCCCAAGCACTAAGACTACAGAGCATCACTGCCTCAGACATAAGAACATAAGAGAAGCCATGCTGGATCCAACATGGAACATGAGAAGCCAATGGCCCATCCAGTCCAACACTCTGTGTTACACAGTGGCCAAAACCCAGGTGCCATCAGGAGGTCCACCAGCGGTTGGGGGGGGGGGGAGAAGAGGAAGGGAGGGAAGAATTTCCTAACTTTGTGTCAGGAAACTGGTCTCCTTTAACAGAGTATTTCTACCTGTTAGCTTTCTTGACTATAGAGGTAATCACCCCCCACCTCCCCGCTTGTTATCAGAATTGTTGCTTAAGCTGGCAGAAGTGATTTAACTTGCAGCAGCTGACAATGGTCATCTAAAGTGGTCAACAGCTTGCAATTTAGAGATCTCTCCTGGTAACAGCTTTCTATTGGCTGAATGGCTTTTCTTTCTGTACTGAGAGCTTCAGCCCCAGCAGAACAGAATTTGCCCTGCAAGCCACAAAACCCTGGCTAAGGGCCGGCCTACCGCTACAGCCAGTCTCCAGCACCTTGAAACCGCTACAGCCACTCTCCAGCACCTTGAAACCGGACCTCTTTCTCTCTTCCCTCGCCAAACGGGACATAAATCACCACGGCTCTTTCCTCGGTTCTCTTTCTTCCCGGCTCTAATTGGCGCAACAGATGGCCCCGCGTGTGATACCCAGCTGAGCCTTCTGAGACAAGGTGTTCGTTAACTGCATTTAGGAGTGCCACAGTGAAAATACCTATTTATTTCTCCTCATTAACGGCTCTGCTGAAGACTCAAACATTACTCTTCCTCCTTATGTGGGGGGGGGGTAGTGAGGGGGCGTGAGGAAGGGAAAGAAATCCGCCCAGCTGAAGGGACAAATTGTTTCGCTAAGAGCTGTAAGTGGGGGGAGTGCAAAAGGGCCGGTTTGAGAAATTAGAAGGGAAATTGCTCTCCAACTTGAGCCGCTATTTCCTGGAGACAAGAAATGGCACTTTCTCGCTCCGGGAGGGTGAGCCTGAAGGCAGGGGTCCGGAGCCTTTTAATGTGATTGCTGCCTGGCGCCTAGCTCTCCCGCCTTTGCTACATAAAGTTTGTTTTTAAAGCCGGCTTTGAAGGTCAAAGAAGACGGGGACGGCAAAGGATGAGATGGTTAGACAGTGTCATCGATGCAACGAGCATGAAGTTGAGCATTTGATTCCCCCACTCCTCCTCCACTGGCACCTGGCTGGATGACCTTGGGCAAGCCCTAGTTCTGACAAGAGCTGTTCTTGAAAAAGAGCCATTTCTGTCAAGAGCTTTCTCAGCCCCGCCTACCTCACACAGGGGGTCTGTTGTGGGGAGGGGGAGGGAAAGGAGACTGTAAGCCGCTCTGAGACTCCTCTGGGTAGTGAAGGGCGGGGTATAAATCCAATCTCCTCTTCTTCTTCTAATCTGGGAGAACCAGGTTTGATTCCCCACTCCTCCTCCACTCGCACCTGGCTGGATAGCCTTGGGCAAGCCGTGGTTCTGATAAGAGCTG